CACAATTTTAAATATAATTAGCCTTGACTTTTCTTGCATTTTATGCTCTGTGGCTTTATCATCGTCTCTTGCTCATTCATCATAAAAACTACTGTTGCTGGAGATTCAAAAATATTCAATCAAAGATGGATGGAGGAAAAGTGGCTTAAAATACAACCCTTTGAAGCTGCCCACCAGACCTACGTCTCCCGAGCCCAGCAGGTTCTCCAATGTCAAATCCCATTTCGTTCACTGTCAGCAGCTTTATCCGCACCACCCGAGAACCAACTTGTAGGAATTAAACCGACGCATTCCCAAGGCAGGCCCTGCCCTGGCAGGAATGGGAGAGCAGGAGCAGCTCCGGCTGCTCCGCGCGCTGCGTCTCCCAGGGACGCTGCTGCCTCCGGAACGAGGCGTCATTCGCAAGTCAGCACCTCGGCGAAGCCCCGGGCTGGGGAAATCACCCAGCACAAAGAGGCCGCAATAAATTCCCCTCTCGCGCCTCTTCTCTGGAGCCTGACGAAATCGCGCCGGGCTGCTCTGTGAAACGTGCTTAGTCACCGATCAAAACCCCAGCCCTTGGCACACCTTCCCCGTAGGATCCTCTTCCCTTTTTAAGTCATCTGCCCGGCGGGCCGCGGGGCCCTGGGCGTGCGCGCGCTCCCCGCCTGCCAGAGGCCTTTGCGCAACGCTCGGCCGCGGGGCTCCGCGAAGGCCCCGTGGGGACACGGCCCCGGCGACGAGCGCGGAGGAACCTCCTCGTTCCGGAGAGCCCAGGCCATTAACTGCTTCCCATGTGAAGGTACATGGTGCAAAATGGCCTGCTGCTGCTTTGAGCGTTCAGCACTTTGCTCAAAGCGTGAAACACTCTTAAAAAAAAAAAAAAAAAAAGGTAAAACCTAAGCAAGTTAGTTAAAGGCCACTCAAAAAGTGAATTCTTGAAAGAAATGAGCCATTCCAAACTGCTGGGGCTGCCTCTGAGGTCTTACTCCTTAAGTGTCACCTGACGTTTGCAGTCTGGCGCCATCCTGCAGTCAGATCCCTGCATCCATGCAGACTGCTGCCGGAGCAAATCTGCAGGCTTGGTGCCTTGGGATCCAGGCGTCCCAAGTGTCTTGGAAACCAGCCTCCAAATCACTGGAATGGGTAACTCTTCTATAAATTACCTGGCACACAAATTGGCAGGCGGTCGTGCTGCCAAGGAGCGGCTCTCCAAACGCTCTCCAAAACACTCCTGAATCGCTAGCGCGTGAATTGTGTCCCATGAGCATTTTCCGGACAGTTCTCACCTCTAAAATGCAACCACAGCCTCTTGTACTCCTCGGGAAGGACAACCAGGAGCAGAGCAGCTGATGCCACCGGCACCCCAGGCAGTGATGTGACCGCAGGACCGCAAAGCAGGGAAAAATCCTTCAGCTATCAGTGACCTCCCTGACCAGCTCTGTCTGCTGGAGGGAAAGTGGTGGGAAATGCTGACCTTGCTGGCAGCAGATTTCTTCACCAAATCCCAACACGAGGGGGTGGTATATTAGGCACAGTTTTGGTAAGAAAGAGTCACATTAAAATAAAAAAAAAAAAAAAAAAGAAAAAGCTGGACAGGAAAATAACTTTGGAAGAAACAATTTCTACAGTAGAGCCCTAAAGGCAGACAAGCCAGACTGCAGAAGCTCAGGCTCGCTCTTTTAAAGGACACGCTCCGAGAAGGGATGAGACCTGACCAGAGAAGTCAATCAGATGAGAAGAACTCAAGGTCTTGAGCGTGGAGGACGTGTGGCATTCCTTTAAACCAAAAGGGCAAAAATCAGCCCAAAATTATAACCTAAAAGAAAAAGGGCAGAAGGATTCACAGGGAATGGCTCCAGGAGGGCATCTGGCCTAAGTCAGCAGAGAAAAGACAAGGAGAAAGCTCAATTTGCAAGGAATGCAAAAAAAAAAAAAGGAAAAAAAAAATCTATATATACACTTGTTGGTTATGAACAGTACATTAGTTGTTACCTCTTCTGGCTGAGAAAAGCTCTGTCCCCTGGATGCTGCTGTCCATCCTTGCATCTGTGTTCTGTGAGACCCAGGTTTGCTAGCTCTGGAGATGGGAATTGCTCCAGTCGAAGCTGGCTGGACCTGCAGAGGCAATTCCAGGTGAAGAGGACTGAGCTCACGGCCGGGGCGTATGGGACCCACAGACACACGGGGGAAGCTGCAGGGCACCACTTACGAGGCAGCAGCCTATTGATAAAGGGCAATTTCCACCTAAGCTTGGCACAACCCAGAGGATTTTGATGTTAGCAAGCTGTTTAGAAGCCGAAGCCCCAGTGTGCAATAAGGCAGCGGCACGTGGGTCAGAGCCAGGGAACAGCCTGCACCACAAGGCCCGGGATGGAGGGCATGGGGACGCCCGCGAGGGCAGCGCCGGGGGTCGCGGCGGGGTCTCCGGCACTTCGCCATGGTGCCGCCGCGCCGTGTCACGTCCCGCCGCGCGGTGTCACGTCCCACCATGCGGCGTCACGTCCCACCGCGCGGCGTCACGTCCCACCGCGCGGTGTCACGTCCCGCAGCGCAGACCCCGCGCCGGGAGGTGCGAGCGCGTTTCCTCCAGCGCGTTGCACAGCTGTGTGGTGGCAGCTGGGGACATTCCTGTTCATTTAGGCACTAGGAAAAGCAAGAAATTGGACCGGTGTCTTCAGGAGAGTCCTGATTAATCATTTCCTAGGCCATTTCTAATCTTTCTGTTAAAGACAGCGATTGTCACAAGGAGTCTGTAGAGGTATGGAGGAAGTATGTCTGAAGTGTGGCAGGCACGAGAGGAACAAAAGACTGCTAGACCAGGTCCCACTGTGAGTACTGTACTCCCAAGTACAAAATACATTAACTAGTCCTTTAAGAGGAAACTGGAATTTTATTGCTACTTAATTTAATCCATGGAGAGCACTTGCTGCTTCAGTTTGAATGAAAAGAATGTTGCATTAACTTACTTGTATGTTGCTTTTAATTTCTATGGCAAGTCAGAATAAAAGGGTTTAAAGAGCCATAACTTAAAATGTCACTGTCCTGTGCTAAGGCATGGCAGTTAATTCTAACTATAATAATAAGTGCAAGGAGGCCACCTCATGGCTGCTGAGGGAAGTTGTAACTTTGTTCATTTAAAATAATAATAATAAAATTGGATTAATTTTGGCAAAAGAAGAGAACAAACTTCTGAACTACAAGGAAATTAAATGTTGCTCAGAGGAAATACATAAGAGGTAGAAAGTTACAGTAGCATATGAGTTGCAGAGCATAGTAGCACTTGCACACAACAGTCACCCTGTCAGGGCTATTGCACTATCCTCGAGGCCCATATACTACTTTATTATGGAACAACTTGGGATCTCAGCCATTTTTTCCTCAACAGAGAGATCCTAACCCACACCAGCATGGACCAGTGCTTTCAGTATGCAGGAGGAGGGTTTAGTCTCTTCACTGTTTGACCTAAGTAGCCAGAATTCCCTGCTCCTAGCAGCCCTGCCCAGACAGGGCCTAGGTACAACCATGTGTAAAAATAAGCAGCAGCTTGGACCGAGTATCAGCACAGGGAGACTTAAAGGTAAAAAAAATTCTTACAAATATGATGACCAGAAACTTATGCCATGAAGAAATCAAAAAGGAAGATTCTAAGCTACTGCTTTTGTCCTCATAAGATTTCCTGACTCAAAATTGTAGCTGAGAAATAAGTGGGCCTATAATGCATCTTTAGTTGGTTGTCTTTTTTTTTTTTTTTTTTATTGTTGTGGTTACCCCTCTCCGCGCCGACGTGGGGAGCCGCACGCGCGCAGCGCCGCGCGGGTGCCCGCCGGGGACGTGAATCACGGCTCTGTGCAGCGCCGGGCCGCCCGCTGCCCACACAAGCACCCGGAGCGCGGCCGCCGGCCCCGCAGCGCGCCACAAAGAGCCCCCTTTTCGGGGCAGGTCGGCCCG